CAGGGGTTACTTGTACTTACACAACGTGTAAATTTATAATTTATGCTCAATTCAAAGGTTGTGTTGATTTCCATTAGGATATTTATACACTGTAACGAAGCCTCTAATGTATTCACCACGCTTCTACACTTGTTTAGTCCGAATTTTCGACCAGAACAACAAACTATGAATGCCAGAGATGTTGCATTCACTCCATAAGTATTTGATCAGTATTTAATGTAATCACCTTTTCATCGGTAATAATGCAAGGAAATCTACTGAATTGTGAATGTGTTACAACCCCCAAATCAATATTTCCCAAATACGGTTCTACCTTTACTTCCTTAATCATGTTGGTGAACTTATTCATAATCGTCGAATAAATCAATTAAAAATATTTTAAGGTAGCATCAATATTCTTTAACAAATTTTTCCGGATCAAAATTTCCGGTTCAACTTTCAGTTATCCACACATAAAACGTAACTGTAACTGTATTTCTCCTTGGCATTGGCCGGTGACGTCGCGCGTGCGTCACTTTCAAAGGGCAACCCGCCTGTCCTGGGCCGCCGTTAATTAATCAACGTTCCCACGTGCGACGCGGACCTGCAACTCATAATGCTCCAGATATTGCGCCCTAACTTCCTTGACATTTACAGGACGCGCTGCTGTTAATCTCGGCAGTCTTATAGGAGGCCTGTGGAAAAGTAGGACCGTTGGACGACCACCATTAATACAGTACATATAAAGGGTTTCTAACTATGCGGATTCAAGTCTCTCTTATACGTTTCTTTTATTTTATAATGGTTGTTATTTAACGTGAGGATGGTGGATACAGGGATATGTAAAAAAATTGGTATGTGACATAAGTCAATGAAGTTTTATGCAGGGTCCAGAATGGTCCGTGGAGCCTCTATCTTTTCCACTGTGAGCGGTTGAGGTGCAAAAATACTTTGGAAAATGAATATTAAATAAATGAATGGGTTACCACAATTATGTTCTTATCCAGGACACATCAAGCACAAGCTCGGCGCACTACAGAATTTTTGAGGCTGCGTCACAAAAATCTACCTTGTCTTTAGGTTTCTTTTAGTGCAAGCGGTGACGCCACACCCACGGCACCCATGCAAGGCTCATCTTGATGAAATTTTAACTGTGGTCCATGGACAGACGGCGGCTGATGAACGATTGATGGGGCTGAGGCTGGGAGCTAATAATTAGAACCAAGGTCCCTTGATCACAGGCAGTCGATCAGAAAAGAAAATATCTTTCGGTGGTGAAATTATGAATTGTTGAAGGTCTTCCTATATAATTAAACATCAATGTTTTAGTACCGCTTAATTTACGCACCAACGTTCTAATGGCGCTTCGGTTGAGCGGTAACGATTTAGTGCTGCTTAAGTTATGAAGCCACTTGTTAATACCGCTTATGTTATGCAGCAACGTTTTCGAACCGCTTAAGTTATGAAGCAACGTTTTTGTGCCGCTTAAATTATGAAGCAACGTTTTGGTGTCGCTCAAGTTATGCAGCAATGTTTTAGTGCCGCAAATTTATTGGAACTTTATATGACCGCTTTAGTTATGCAGCAACGTTTTCGTGCCGCTTTAGTTATGAAGCAACGTTCTGGTGCCGCTCAAGCAACGTTTTAGTTCCGTTTGAGTTAAGAAGCAACGTTTTAGTGCCCCATGAGTTATGCAACTCGTTTCCGCCTAAGTTATGAAGCAACGTTTTAGTGTCGCTTAAGTTAGGAAGCAATGTTTTCGTGCCTCTTGATCTAAATGAAACTTTAATACTGAGGCTAAGTTAAGAACTGGGTTGGTATACAAATTTTACAGTCAAGGTATTTAAAAAAAATTCACTATTGTTGTGAAAAATCATTTTGAATGTCTAATGAAGTATTTATTAATGGGTGGCTTTTATTTTGCAGGTGTTTTTTTGTTAATAGAAACTTTCTTTAATTCACTCCACTTTAGTTTGAACATTATTACGACAGTTAGAAAGATTTCTTTACCGAATGAGTCCTTAATTTCTAAGATTATGTAATATGAGCATCCAAGAATCGCCTGCTGTTATAGTCTTTGAAATTTGTCAAGTTACTTTGTTTAAATAATTAATTAGTTGATTAATATTCGAGTTTCATGGGAAATAATCGAAAATGCGATCTTCGTCGAATCTTCGAGTTAGGTTCATCGCTTCATACCTAGAGTGATATCTGTTGGATTGTTCTCACTCCTAATTATACTGTACATTTGGTAATGTCATCTCATAAATCTTAGTAAAATATCGTCGTCCCATGACGTGCAAACCGCCACAGTGACCGTCAAGGGTGACCGGTAAAACCGAATTGACGACTTCAACCGAATCCCCATCGCATGCAGCCAGCCCGAAATTATTTTATTTACTATAACGTAGGCGGTAAAATAAAGTAAAAATGATTTTAAAGTTAAGTCCCACGCCTAACTGCAATGGCCAATGATCACACTTCGTTTAGAGTCCGGGAGGCGATGTCCCTGTATCCCGATCACTACTAAATTAACAAATTATCTAGAGTGACATGTGTTCATGTCATAGTAAAGGCATCCATTCTATCGAACTTCCCGTCGATCATGACTGGACACAAAACACAGCAAAAACGACCGTACGGTTGAAAACATCGCACTTTATCGTTGGGGACACAAGATTCAGTGGAACACGCCCAATCATCGGGTTCTGGAAAAATAATTAAGGCGGAAAGGCGAACCTTGTCATCGATGTTCCTGTTGTAGCTGCTGTTCACAAAAAATTGTTGGGAATAAAAACAGGCCGGTAGATTTTGATGTCCAGAGCGGTGCGTAATGCTTTGGGCGCGACATTTTGAAAGGGATCGATTTTCAATACCTCGGCTGAGAGTAGGGGAAGACCCGCATGTATCAAAATTTAGTAATGTTTTTTTTTTAGTGAATACCACTACAAACAAAGCGCGAGTGCTTGTTCAATAAGTTTGTTCGTTCTCATTCAAACATTTCGTTAATTTTAAAACGATGCTTTTTATATCATTAATACCATATCGAATTCTTTATGGCATCTTCGTTTTAAAATCTTGAAACGACGACGACAACAATAAACGCTATGTACAATTTCGAGTTCGGTCGCGTCAGAGGTGACGCATTTTTAGCGCATTTTCTCATTTATGAAAAAAATGCACTATTGTTCTCGCCATGTCCGTCTGTCTGTCCGTCCGTCTGTCCGTGACCTCACTCAAGTTTTCGTCGACGAGAAAATGCGCTCTCTGTCACTCACTGCAGTGAGTACTGAGTTATATATTTTTACAGTGTATTTGATTTGAATGGATTCATAAAAATTGGGAGTGAGGGCACATACATTCAGGGTGTTCGAAAATCCCCACAACTCGCGTCAACTTTTAGAGATAACTCGAGTCTCTTGAAGTATTTGCAGATAATATTTAGACGTAAAGCGAATGCTACTTCGAAATCAAAGTTCAAAGGTTATTAGGGTGGGGATGTTTAGTAAATGTGTGTTGTGCAAACGTCGAAGTATGCATGTAGTCCAAGCGCTGCTATGTTGTCGAGGCCACAACACCATGTGCTCACTCGCGTTTCAAACAAACATAAAATTCGAGATGAAACGATTGAACAATTTTATTTGTAATTTGAATCCGGATAAATAAAACATTGTTCTAGCAAAATGTTACATTATGTTATAATACGTAGTATATACTTATTCCCATCTTTAAATAGCTAACAGCATGCTAATAATTTTGTCATTATTTCACTGATTACGATTCGTCGATTGACCTTTGCGAGTTTTCGATGAAAATGTTGTGGGCTACCAGTGGCTGTCATGAAAACTGTTCGGTATTAGCCGCCGCTAATTGTATCAATTAGTGCCAGTGTGCCACTAATGGTCAGTTAGCGGCGTGGTAGCTGACCACATGACTCACTAGGAGCCTGTCAGGCTGACTGAAAAAGAAGACCGCTAAATTTTGCATCGAGTAACGTTCCGTCATTTATCGAACTGTGAGCAATATCAATCCCTAATAAATTGTGATAAATCTATCACTCGCCTTGATATTATTTTGAGCTAATTTTTCCAAAAACTTAATAAATAACATCATCATTTCTAATGATGTATAGAAGTGAATTTAAAGCATTATGAGCCTTTAATGTTTTTTTCCAATTCACATAGCATCGATTCGTACGACGGGGTAGGCACTACTATGAAATGGTTATTATTTTTCAGTAAACTGTGGTTACGAAGATGCAAAATTGTAATGCCTCAATAGAATATCACAATATAAATAAATAAACCACAGATAATTGGAAAATGAATCCTAAGCAATATCTGTATCATCATATTCGCGGCCGAATTCGACAAAATCGCCCCTTCTCAGAACTCAGCTGCAAACTCGCAAATCGATATTTTGAATTTTAAGTAGATCCGTTCATAATTGAAGGAGATATGATTGGGGCAGGCGAATTTGAGTTTGCAAAGATGTTCGGAGAAGTGACAATTCGGTCTGAATTCGAATGCCTGTCTGCGAGGAGCCTTGTTAATAAATAACTGTAATCAATATATATGATGCATGAATATATGATGAAGCATAGTTGAAAAGTTAACAAAAGCTAACTATTTATCGCATTTTTTTTGGCATGTGCCATGCAACGAACTAGGCGTATTGATAAGGTCGTATTTTTAAAACGTTGTTAGATATTTTTGTTTTCTCATATTGTTTTTTTCCATGCTATTTCATTGCATATAGCATAGTTCTGTTCCAAAATTTATCGTCCTTCGACGAGTGGCCGTTCGACCGAAGGCTGGTTCGATGCAAGGCCTAGATATGATTGTCCAAAAGTGTTGAAGGCTACGTTCCGGAAGGCATGAATCATGATGGTCCATTACATCCAGGGCAGTGGTGGTCTTCTTCAAGCGACCCGATACATGGACGTTTTCAAACTGCCTTTAGTTCAAACAAACGTAAATAAAAGAAGAAGATTAAGTCTTCCGACACTCCGGACTCAAACGAAGGCCTGGGCCGCCGCCTAGCGTGAAATCCTGAAACGCTGCGGTTGGCTAGATTGGCCTACTGTGGCCCTAGAGTGAGTACTGAGTACTGAGTACTGAGTAGAGGTAGCTAGCCTGTTAGGTAGTACTGAGGTAGACTGTAGACTTGAGGGTTGAGGCTGCAGCTTAGATTGGAGTCTGACGTTCCATCTCGGCATAAAAAAAGGAAATTCGTCCGTTCATATCGCAAGCAGCGAATAGTGGACAAAATTGCCTACTCTTGATGCCCCATGGCATAGGCCTAGCCCACAATCCGCATTCTCGTGAATTAGGATTTTAGGAGTTAGGACCGACTAATTACGCTTGATCTTGTATTATTGAGGGCTTTGAGGCCGTATGAGGCGTAGCCTGACAAATTAAAAATTGTAGGCTCAAGTTAATGGAAACATTCATGACTTCTATAAAGTATAAGCAAATTTTTTTTCAGAAATCTACTAATTTAAACTGTTTGAACTTTTGTAGGCAGAAGGCTGAAGCAAGCTGAAAGCGCAAAGACCTTATCATTAAAAAACTAAATTCACATCATAGATAAAAACGTAAATTGACAAAAGCTTATGCAGGGCATAAGCATAATGCACCTTTGCACGTTTTTGCACCTATTGTTCTACAGCAGTCGGCCTAGTCGCAGTCAGTGCAAATTGTGCAATGTGCATTCACTGCATTGAGTGCAGTGACTGCACACAAGTGACACAACACAGGCCACAGCCAGACAGCCTGACAGACACAGAATACCTAGGCTAGGCAAAAATTGCGTCCATCGACCATCATCAGTCCTCAGTGACTCCTCACTCCTCAAACTCCTCACCTTGCCAGGGACGGGATGCCGGCCTTCATCATCATGCCATTTACTGGCATAATGGCATTTAGTGATGATGGAGTGGAGCTTCAGCTGCTGACCTGCCTTGGGGCTTGGGCTTGCCGGCTTGGCTGCTTGGGCCTTGATCTGCTTATACAAGTCATCTTGGCTCTTACTCTTAGCCTCTTGAGCCCTCTTTGAGGGCCATAGTGACAAACCAGAAATTTTTTAGAATCAGTTCTTTATTACCAAGTTACCAACTACCAAGTAGGTGGCATACGTATAGCAAAACAAGTTATTAGTCATGGACAATAGACTTGATCAATAATAATATAGGCCTATGTTTAAAAACTATATATATATATATATATATATACAGGGTGGAATTCTAGAAATGGAGGTTCACTTATAAAAAAGCTTTCCACCCAAGGTGGAATGCTTTCCTTAGATACAGTGCTCTGCCAGGTGAGCAGTGTCTCCAACTTTATGCAAGTGTGCAAAATTTCACATTGATAGGATAAGTAGAACTTTAGAAGTGTATTAAATTTTGATTACAAGATTCGTAGCAGACGAACAGACTGTTACAGACAAGCAAGAAGTGAAGTTAAAGAGAAGTGTAAAAATCCCCACTGCCTAGGCCCTAGTATTCCCCCACACATATCAAACAGCATACCTACTGACATGGTGACTGCAAGAAACTAGAGTTCAGACTTGTATGACTAATTGAATTAGGCTACTATGTAGTATGTAATTAGCTATGACAAAACAACAAAAATAGTTGAATATTAATTTTATACATATTTTAAAAATGGAAGCTTGTTAAGTTTTTATTAATTTCAGTTGTATAAAGAGTTACTAAAAATATTGTATATATCAAATTATAATTTTGAAAATAACTTGTATATAACTGTAACTGAAATCAACTTGCTGTGGCTGAAATGCTTTTGTTAATGAGATATGAATCATATGATTGCATTGGCTAAAGGTTCTTCCATTGCCTCAAAAACCTGCTTAGCATTCTTGTTGATTGCCTTTGTGTGCAGGTGCAGGCCGTGCAGCTGTGTTGCCAGTTATTGTTTGGCTGCCTCAACATACATTTGCTAAATAACAAAGTTGACGAGTTTCTTTGCGTCTGTCACTTGTGCTCACTACCACTTGATTTTTTCTTCCTGGTCAAGACCTGTTATGACACTGACTCTGACTCAGTGTCTTTGTCTGCATTGCGTGTTATTACGCTGTGAGATGCCAGGTCATTGATTGCTAGCGGCTCCACATGCAACCCAAAATAGCCTGGCAACAAATTACAGTGGAGTAGCTACTACCACCAGCTACTGTGAACCTTACCATTTTTGACATTGGTGCCCAGCCCATCCACCTTTGAGCTGCAATGTGCTAGGGGACTGTTTTTTTAGACTTTGAGAGAAATGAATATTTATATGAAGCTTGAAACTACAGTGCAATAAATTGTTCATAAATATATAATAGACCAATTAACTTTCTTCTTTAACTTCTTACTCTTAACTCAAACTTTCCTACGTATATAGCCTTTGCTATAATATCCTCTATACCTGAGCTTGTTTTCTCTTCTCCTCCTAACAAAAACAAATCAAATGAATATGTGATGTGTGGCAGGCTGGCAGCTAGCTCATATAAATGCCTTACTAATGAAAGTCCTTTTCAGGGTCACCACACCCCAAACCCAACTCCCCTCATCTACATAAAGGCTTTCACAGATATCAAGTTCCAAAGTTAATTCAAGGAAGAAAAAGAAGTTATGAAAAGTTGATAAGCTCCTAGGATTGTTGTATTTTTATCTGTTATTTCTATAATTGCACAATTTGTGCACCTGGGTACCCAGTTTACTACTAACTACTGCATCAATGGCAAGAAAATTACCACTTCAAATGTTCATCTCTATTAGGGCAAGTTTATCATGCCGTTTATTTGGTAAGTTTTACTAGAGTGGCTTTCCCATAATTTATATTATCTTTTATAAATTAATCATGTCTGCAATGCTATGGATCTGCCAGTGCTAGATAATTTCTAGTTTTTCTTTATCATTTCTATTGAAAGCTTGCAAAATTGGTACTGTCCTGTGGTAATGTGAAGACTTGAAGTAAAGATTAGGTGAAGCCCATGAAAACAACATACAAATCTGGATTATCAGGCAGAAATTTTCAAGAAAATGAAGAAATGCAAGTGAAAACAATCATGTCATAGGTTAATTTTAGAAATTGTCACCATTCATTTTTATAGAACAGAAATTAGGCAAGGGTTTTAAAAATAAGTAATATTGTCCAATGTCATGTACTTTTTTGTCTCTTTCATGACAGCTTATGCCTGATTTTCCAGTTTGGACAACAAATATCTATGTACTAGAATATATTTAGGGCAAAGCCATTGTTTGCTTGACAGTTTGAAAACTAAATAAATTTGGTAACTATTGTGACTGCTTTTCATGTCATGCCATTGTACTGAGCTTGGCAATTGTTTTGCTAAGATCAGGTTTTCAGGCAGCCCAAAAATGTATCCAGAATTATTGAGAATTTAATGCCCGAATGAGCTAAACCTTCAAGATTTCCTGCCTAAAATATGCACCTATACATAAATTGGTTAGAGATATTTAAAGAGAAATGTGTTGACATCCTCTGAAGACTTTGATGCTGATGTGTTGCTAAAGATCTTCAGATATTTTAGTTTGGATTACCATATATACGGGATTGAAAAATATGGGTGGAGGAAATCTAAAAAATAAATCCCCCTCACACTAAAAAAAATGCATTTTGAAAGAGTTGTCAGGGGATCGATGGATATGACCTTTACAAATGGAATGATATGTCTCTCAATGTTTTAGCACATTAACTGGATGAAGAGTACCCCCCGTTTTCTGTTTTCTATGAATTTCATGTTTTCTTTCATTTTTCAAAAAATTTACAGGAGCAAAAAGGTTGTAGATTTCTATTTAACATATGTGTAACAAGTTTTGAAATGATTCGTCCATAAATGAAAAAGTTTTTGTTACTGAAATGCTCCCCTTAAGTTTAGGTAATTCCAGCAAAATATTCTCAATCATACTTGCAACATGTTTGGACTCAAAGCCTGATCTTGGCAATATTATTGCCTAATTAAGAAGAATGTTTTACATTTTGGGTCAACAGTAATAAATGGTAATGAACTAAATAGGATGTGATACATATCAAACCAGCTTTTAAACTTCTATGTGGAAAACTCAAAATATAAAAATGCTCCAATTCAATATTATATTTTTCCTTTACAATGTTGTCATCAGTAACATTGATCCGTAATTTTTTAGATTTTATTTTTTCTGACACAAGAAGACTAAGCTGCAAAATTTCATGTTCCACAACAAATGTGATCATTAAACTAATATGCTTAAATTCATTCAAAAGACATGACTATAGGGCTTTGATTAAATTTGATTTTGTTGAATTTGATTAAATATGATAGTTTTCCAATCTTCTTAAAAATTATCTACCACTTTAAATTTAATGGTGCATCTATTCTATAGGTAATTGTATTGCACGAGAGTGTAGACTGCATTCAAGAATGCCAGAATATTGAAAGCACAAATATCTTCAAATGTAACTATTTACTGGCTCATGAAATGCCTCTTGTTAGACAATTTATTTTTGGTCATTCCTAGTATTTGAATAGCAATAAAAAATTTTCTTCTGCTGTAGCTATGGTCAGTTATATAGATGCATCTTTAGGTAACTTTTTCAGTTGCAGATTTGGACTCATTATAATGTTATTTATTTGAACAAATTAGTTCTGGCACTTGAGGTGCATTCTCCTATGAATAGTCCCTTAGTAGATGGGCAGATCCCTATCTGGTATAAATATGAAATTGCATTTTTAGCAGAAATCTCATTAATGCAACAAAGTATTTAATTACTCCTGATACTGGATGTTGGTACTTTTCTATAACTTTGAGTAATGCACAAGTAATTTATACAAGTGTATTTCTATTCAATTTTTTCTAAATTAAAGCTTTTTTTTTTCTTACTTGCACAGGCTATGTAGCTATTCATTTTACCTCACATGCTATTTTATTTCCCAGGCTCCTCTGCAATGAAAAGACAAGCAAGTGTTCCTCCAAGTATCAATGATGATGGCAAGTCTCACAATTCAGCGGCACGGCAATTTCAAGATGACAAGTTTGATGCTAAAGCAGTTGAAAATATGATAAGGACCTCATCCAAGAAAGACATGGTGAGCACTGAACAACTACCCTGGTGACACTGAAAATAAAATCTCCGTTTCAGGCAAAAAGTGTTCATTATATATTCTGATGATTCTCACAAAAAAAATGATTCATCTTCAATTTCCTCTTCTTTTGATGAATCATAACTTGAGTGACAGCTGTTGTATGGGGCAATCCTGTGAGCTCCATGTTTACCTGATCTATATAGAGATGCTAATTGTTTCTCAAAATAGAAAACTTATTTTGACCAACAAACACTGTAGAATTTTAATCTTCAGTTTTAAATAATTTCTTGTAAAAATACATGGGATATAGGTATTAGTCTCTTATTTAGGATGAGGGTTAGTCCAATTAATTAAAATTAACTGAGATTTGAAACTATCAGGATAGCAGGGAAGACAAGTTGATGATGGGAAACATGATTTCCAATATAGGATAATGTGTAATGTAAGTAAACTCTCAGAATCTTGTTAATTTTTATTTCGAGCATCATTAGGTTAAGCTGCTAGTTGTTCATTTCTTGGATCTGGAACACTCAGAGTTGTGCAGTCATGTGCTGCTACATACATGTGTCTAATTTCTTCACTAATGTCTGTTAAAATTTTAAATTCATAATTGCTATTTAAATTCAATAACATATAAAGTTCATCTATGTGTTTTTTAAACAAAAGATCTACTTACATATTATCTTTGATAATGCAATTGTATTTATTCATATAATTTGTGCAGCCCATAGACATGACCAACCCATATGAGAAGAAGAAGGTGCAGTGCTTGCTGTGCAGATATCAGCTCAAGCTGGACTACAAAAACATGAAACTCTTATCGCAGTTTGTGTCCTCGTTCACCGGTAACATTTATGAGAAGCACATCACGGGCTTGTGTCAGGAGCAACAGGACAGACTTGTCAAGGAGATTGTCAAGAGCAGAAATGCTGGCAAGTACCATTACCATAAAATTTACTCGTTCTTCTATTTCTGGTACAAATTATCTGCCTCCTGTTAATGAATTCCTCGTAAAACTTTTTTAAATGTAATAGTGAATTTTATTGCCTACAAAATGTTCAGCTATTACAGAGTTGCGCCTGAAATACTTTAAGCTACATTTGCAAAAGTCTTTCACATTAATATTTCATTTTCTTTAAAATCTACTCTCGAAGTTGCAGTATTTTAGTTAGCTTCAGCAGATTAATTAGAAACACATTACATAGATAATATTGCTTCTTATTGTGTTGCTTCCCCAAGTTGTGTTGCTAATATTTTTGATGATCATATACCAAACCTTCTACTACTACTACCACCTGATACTGTTAAGTAGACTACGTACCTAGTCCTCTAAAGTTCTGTTTTAGAATTTTCCCGTAAAGTGTTTGCCAAGACCAACTACAATGCTAATAACTGATACACATTTTTTGGAACATATTTTTTGGAAGTGCATATTTTAGCAGCAGGGTTGAGGGAGTAAAGCCCAAAATGAGCTTAAAGTGGCATTTCTGTTTCAGGATTCATGCCCCACGTGTTCAAGAAGGTGGAATTCTTCAGAGATCCTAAATTGTTTGACCCCAACAACCCCATGAAGCCTCATCCTCACTGAACGCTAACCGTCGCTATTTACTGTACAGCTTGCTAAGTATAAGTGATCAGACGAAATTTTCGTTTTCGTTGCCTTTTTAAAAGCATGTTTTGGGATAAGAGATAATTCTCCACGTTTCGTGGAGAATTTGGATTTGTTTAGTTAGTTAGTGTACGGAGTAATTATGCGCCGAAACGAACGTACGAATTTTAATTGCGTTGATGAGAAGAGTGATGCACTCTCAGTGTTTCTATTGAAGTTGGGGACTCCCTCTAAGCCAGCAACGTATTAATGAGCTGTAGGCATGCATTATTATTCGCTTCTCACGTTCACAACTATTTGTAGATTTAATGCCTCATGAATATTAAAAAAATGAATTTTTGGGGTTTTACTTATATTGTGCAAAATGTCAGTAAGAACATGATAATGTCTTTGCAAGATGGAAAGAATCATTGTTGAGAATATTGCAAATGTTGATCTTAGGCTCGTGGTCGCTGCACATTACTAAGCGATCAGACAAGACAATTTCCTGAGGCCGGCTGCTGGCTAGAAATAGTCGATCTCACTACGTCTGTGATGTTATATGCACTTGTTATTCGTGAGGCGTCGTGTCCCAAACCCTCCGAACCTTAACTGACCTGAGGCTGATAGAAACACGATAGCAGAGTCAATTGTCTTCTTATGATTGATCATGTTTATCTTAAATTATTTGTCAAGCTAGGATAAAAACTTTATGGAATAATACCCTACCCGGTCAACTCTCGTTAGATAATTTTGATACTTTCGAAAATTTTTACCCTGGGCCAATCTTCTAAACCAGTGATTCCCAAACTTTTTCAGGCTGGCGCCCCCTTTGGCTCCCTAGTGAATTTCTAGCGCCCCCCACAGACACATATAAAATCATGCACCTCTTTCTATAAAATTTATTACGCTGCAATTTTAAAAGATATAGGACTATAGGTTATAAACACGAATGTGTATTTCACAAATAGAAAGAGCTAAACATCACCGTTGCTGAGGTTAGGTATTTAAATACTAAATTTCGTTCAAATCTGTTCAGTAGTTTGGAAGAAATTTCTCGATTAGTGCGAATTTAAGCACGTATTGCTGTTTAAATCAGGAATGAAACTCGCGTACGAAAGCACAGTCGAAAAAATTTTCACGAGCTAAACATCACCGTTCGGGAGTTATAGGACTGTAAATTCAAAATTTCGTCCGAATCTGTTCAGTAGTTCGGAAGAAATTCCTCGATCACTGTGAATTTCGGCCCGTATTTCGCAAAAACAATTGAAGGCAAAATTCAACAAATTTTCACGAGCTTTAAATTATCGTAAGGTCCTAATGAATACGTGTACCAAGTTTCATCGAGTTAAGTTCATTAGTTTGAGAGATATTCCTTGATCATTGAATTTGGAAATTGGCCGTGAGACCGGCCGCGAGTCCGGCCGTTAATTGGTCGGAGACGTAAACCCAGGAGAAGTTAAAAAATATAACACAGTACTCACTGCAGTGAGTGACAGAGCGCACTTTCTCGTCGACGAAAACGTGAAGTCACGGACGGACAGACAGACGGACGGGCATCGCGAGCACAATAGGGCATTTTTTCCAAAATGAGAAAATGCGCTAAAAACAGATCTGGGTGAAAAAAAAAAACTTTCGATGGGAGTCATGTGCTGCACGTGTTGTGTACAAATCGTCAAACAAACGTTCGAACTTCTGACTTCGACTTCGGACTGCCGCCCCCTCTATCGCCCCCCTATCACCCTCTTCTTCTTTACCGCCCCCCAAAATATTTCCATCGCCCCTAGGGGGGCGATATCGCCCACTTTGGGAACCACTGTTCTAAACCAAAAACCTAGTTAAACACAAGGCTGGAAACATTTAATAACCGCAGTAAACGTTCATATGATGCATTTATGAACTTGCAGTGTTATTATATGTTAACGAAGACACGCACACTTGACATGAACACCGCCATCCTGTAGGAAATTCCTTGTGATATTGAATATTTTGGATTACGCGAATTTATACAGTGTAAAGTGAGTGCACTCTATTAAGGGGCTGTTGTGAAGGCTCGACCGTGTGGCGTAAGGAATTAGTATGCAGGTCGAACACTACTTTTTATGAATTTAAAAAATGAGTTATTATTTACCGTTATGGAAAGTTTGGATGGACATTGCATCGTTTTGGGGATTTTTTAAGCTCCCGCAAACGCGTTGTTTTCTTTTTGAAAGAATATAATGAATACTAACAGCACTTTATTAGTCAGGTTTCATGACTTGAAACTAAGCTTGGGGCTTCTCAGGGGTTTTATCTCCCCACATCCAGCGTGTGAGAGCCTTGAGACCCTTGCCAGTGACAGCGCTGACTTCCAGCACCGTAATCTGCTGACGGCAGTACTGCTTCAGGTCTGACAGGCGGAGGACGTTGAGTAGCTCCTTGGTGTCCCGGGGCAGCGGCCGGTCTACTTTGTTCAACACGATCGCCACCTGCTCACAAATCACGAATTCTCTTGCGAAAATAATAGGATAACTTTACGTGCTTTCACCGAAAAAAAACTGCACACCGATGCGTTAGTAGTCATTATATGCAAATGTTCTAGAAAATGTATACAACATTTCAGTGGCCATGCGCCATGTTTATCGGCAATGTTATTCATGCCGCATCCAATTCTTCGAAGTACTTTCTTAACTTGAACGGAATTCATCACGATCCATCAACCATTCATGACAAATCAAATATCCATTACAAGCTCTCACGTACCATTAAATTTTTTCAGCCTACTTGTTATCAGCAATGAAACTTCACCGAGATGGAAATAATTTTGCGCTAGGTAGCAGTGCGCTTTTTTTGATACGAGTATTATGCATTGTTTGAAATTCAAACGTATTTGAGGTACTTACGTCCCAACGTTGTAGGAACTAGTTTATCTTGGCTGAAGGTATCGCTAAATAGCGAGTGAAATCTGGCGTAGCATTAGTGGAAACACTATTTTTTTTTAAATCCTAGTTGAATTTGAATAGAATCTTTTGAAAAACCTCTTTATTTGCATACAAATATAAAATAATTCATAGATAACAAGTTTTAAATCATTTGCCCAACATTAAATTAGCCATTTCACAGTTTACACTCAACAAAAGTTCCCTCCTTATTTTTAAGAAAACTAAAAAAATTAAAAGCTAAAGCAATTATTATCTAAAGCCAGGCCAACGTGTTAACAAAACCAAGACTGAGTGTGGGATAGCGTGTGTGCTGTAAAACTGATACAAAATAATAAAAACGATCACAGCACCATAGAAAAGAGTTCATTTATACACTACCGTACACAATTGTGACTACAGGACCAAGCGAAGAATTGCATAGAAGTAAGTTTAATGCGTTTGTGACCAAAGAAAGAAAGCAAAATCGTTACATAAAAATTACATAAATCTCATGCATATGAAGCGAAAATTCAAAGAGCCAAAATGTAAGGTCAATTGAAACATAAATATACCACACCAGGGTTAATCATGAATTCTTAAGTCTTAAAAAGCTCAACTGCATTCACAGTTTCGCAACATACCCAACAATGGCTACTAAATTGATATGGTGTGCACTTATATTCACAGCCGGCGCATGGAAGTCCTATTTTGATGAAGTTCTCACCAGAATCTTTTCTCAGTTTCAAAATGTCCTGAAACGAATATTGTGCCACGTTGTATCTGCGATGGATAAACAAGTTCGTGGTAACCAAACACAGGGTCGCGGTTATTTGAACTCAAATCCTTCAGTCCTAATGTATCTTTACCAACAGGTTTTACCACCCGCATCAACAAAAACATGTCCTATGCATTGCGATTATAGAATTATCGCCATTGAGTATATGAAAACGGTTGTAAATCAGGGAACCGAATTCTTATTTCAATGGACACGAGCTCTAGGCCAGCGTCGCTCTCTTGCCAGTAGCTGCGATGGCCGAGCCAGTCCTCGTAGCTCCGCTGAAAGTGCGGTGTAGAGCTTCGTATTTCTCACGCTCACTCGCACTAACACTCGGCCGCACCTCCCCCAACGCTGACAGTATGTGCGACATCGAAACTGAAACTGGGCGCTTCTTATCAGCTTGGTCTCTAAAACTTTTCTCCGCGTAATTCCCGCAGGATGCAAGGGAATTGGGCACAGGTTCCTTCACGACGACGTCGACAGGTTTGGGGCTGATGGGGACATTGTGGATGCTGTCATAGCATTCGACAGATCCCGCTTCAAGATTCCCTACTTCTTTTATTTTATCATCAGAAACAGTATGTGGATCACCATGAGTACTTTCACTCAATTTCCCTACAGGACTCGGAACAGGAGTCTCGTAAGCACTCGAGATGACTCCTCTGTCGAGCTCGTCGCCGATCAGCTCCCGCACAGCCGCTATTTGCGCGGTGGTGAGTAGGCTCTGCAAGTCTGCTCCTGAGAAGTGCGACGTGAGACTGGCGACGCGTTGCCAGTCGACTGGGGCTGACAGCTCCAGCGTCGTCGACAGGGTTGCCAAGATTTCAGCTCTTTCTTCTTCAGATGGCAATGGGCAGTAAATGTATTTCTCAAGACGACCTAAAAAGGAAACCAATTAAAATCGACAGAAATGTGTATGGGATTTAATTATCCCGAAGCTAATTATTGAAATTCAAGAGTTGGTACAAATTGAACTAATTATATGATCGGTAATGAATGCAGGACTACAAATGAGATCCTATTTCACGGTTTTGTATTTTCCTATTATAAAATAACAAATTTTAGTTTTATTATGAAGCACAACTCTCTGATAATTCTAAAGTTTTCTAAATAAAATCAAGTTTCACGCATCGCTCAAATGTTTTATATGGCAAACAATATGGGTGTGTACGAGCAGGAACACGAAAAATATTTTACAAGGTCTATCAGATCGTGATCTGCTCACTAGATGGCAACACCAGATGGTCGAGCATTTCTTCATGAACAGGAACTAAATATTGCATCCAATGTAGAACATGCGACGCGGATATGATGTAATCCTAGCATCACATAACAAGGAGTACTCAATGAAGGTGGAATTCTCCAGTAGAACATTTGAATCGTTGTATTTTGTAATTTTATATCGAAACATTTCTTCGTAAGGGTTGTGTAGATCTTAACTAGTTGAATGATGCAGACTTATTAGAAAGAATATACATTGAAAGCTTGTTGAATCTTAAAACCCGAGCAATACTTTACGAGTGAGCGGAACTGATTTGGAACGGAACAGTAGAACTCCACCTTGCGGCGTGAGTGACAAATGGTAGATCTGTTCTACCTAGAATTCCCCCCTTTACCCAAGCACCCCGTAACAAGAATGCCACCTTAGTGCGGTCACCTGGTCTGAGGAGCGCAGGGTCAATAAGGTCTGGCCTGCAGGTGGCGGCCATGACCCACACTCCAGTCCTGGACTCTGCGCCGTCTAGCTGCGTCAGGAGCTGGTTTACGACGCGGTCCGTGACGCCGGTGCTGTCATGGCCGCGGCACGGCGCCAGCGCGTCGAACTCGTCGAAGAACAGCAGACATGGAGCACATCCAGACGCTCTGCAATACACAAACTTTGAAACAATGCACCTTGATTTACGTTTACAATATTTACTGCATTAATTCCGAGTTTGTCCATATATTATTGTAAATAGCATCGATATTCACAGAGATTTTTAACCTGTATTAGGGTTTCACATTTCTTAGGAATTTACTTTCACAGTACATTTCAGAACGAATAATTTGTTTAACGTATGGAACGGCGCAACTAATTTCACGAAGACTGAACTTTGTATAGACTCTGAAGAACTACTATTTGCGGCTTATAGCATATTTTTCGTCGTCCTCTCCAGCTCATAGTAAGCTAGAATGCATCCTGCACCCAGCTCAGTCCGCGAGCACTAGATCATACGATATTCTTGCTTGTATTGAGAGACCAATCACGATATTACGAATCAACGTACCTGTTAAATATTTCGCGGACATTTTCTTCGCTTTGTCCGATGTATTTAGAGAGCAGCTCCGGACCCTGAAATAAAATTCACAATAAAAACGAAACCATATAAAACAGCCAATGAAATTCCAAGCAATTTAAGACGCTGAAAACAAATAATCAACAAAAATCAAATTCATGAAGATGAAATTAAAACGCTGCAAATCTTAATGCAAATTTGAATGTTATACGTGTTTAGGTTTAAAAAATCCCAAACTATATCTATAAAACTATTTCTAACACATCTTGGCATTTTTTAAAATGGACAGCTTCAAATTATTAGCGCAGTGTCAAAAAAAAAAAAAGATTACCATGGTAGTTTCAATACCTTGACCGTGATGAAGTTGATGTTAGCCACACGCGCAATATGATGAGCGAGTCGCGTTTTGCCGCATCCCGGCGGACCGTACAACAACAACCCCGTGACGAGTGCGGACGGACATTGAGCGAAGAGTTGCGGGTACACCGCTGGCCAGCACAGACACTCGTACAACAGCTCCCGCGCGTCGCGCAGCCCGCCAATCGCAGTCGACTCCTGCTGCCCTGCCGAGCGCTTGCCGCGTACGTCTGGCAAGCAAGTCTATAGTTAATTAGGATGTCTGCTATCTAATATGCAATCAAAGCATCACGAGGTGCATTAAATATGCTCTTGGAAATACGCAAGACTTTTCATGCACGTTTTAAACCTGGTGAAAATGTATTATCGCAAGTTTCACAAATTATCTAAGTTTTTAATCATGCAGACACCGTGTGACACAAATATTAACAAAGGATTTCAATAATTTTCTACAATAAGTGAATTATTCGTCTCTTGAATGTTTTGAATAATTTTTCACTTTAACGCGAGAATTAAATCTTGATGTAATTGAATAATTCACTATACTATAATGAAAAAAACAAGATAAGTAACAATTTGGCTTTCACACTAATTCTTCAGCTTTGGTTCCGACAAAAGAGAAATGATTGACTTGGTCATTCTTTAAATCCACTAATTATTATTTCAAAATCACTAAGACATGTTCACCGTTTCTAGTCACTAGAAAAACATTATCTGTTCATCAAACACACTTACGTAGTTATAGTCTATATAGTGAATAATAAAGTTACGATATAATGTCTCATATGAACAAGAACACAAAGAGCAGAGAGCCCGAGTAATACTATTGTTAAAACCTCGAAAGTAATTCAACTCTAACAGCTTGACTCCTACCCTTGTAAGCCAGCGGCGTATAGTCCTCAGCAGCGGCGGCGACAAGCTCCTCTGTCAACAGCTCGCGCAGAGACGGCAGTCCTTGCTCTCCAAGTGAAATTTCCTTCACCGTGAACGAGGATGCGCTTTTATGATTTATGTCATCAAGAGAGCGCATTGACCGATGACACCAGCGGCTGCTTTCCACAGTTCCCGTCGAATAAGAAAGGCATTTATCTTCCAGCAACAATGCGGTTCTTAGAGACAAGTTCGCTAAGTCTGGCAATTTGTAGCCTTCGGTGATTTTCAACAGCTTGGCGTCGTCTAAAAAAGAAAGGTTCTCAGGGGTGAGTGACTGCAAGGCACGAATGTGATGAGAAGTGGAAGCGCCAAGACGTTTTATCAGCATCTTTTTGAGTATTTGCAGACGATTTTCAGGTAATAGAGAAGGTAATGTTAGACTAATCGGAAAAAGATCAGGTCGACCTTGCTCAGATAAACGCTGGTCTACAGCTGAGCGGCTCACGCATGTCCCTATGACGTAAACGTTGCCCAGTCTCCCTTCACGCTCGAGATTCGTGATTTCGTTAGAAGATTTGACGAAATTCAAGAAGCTTTGAACAGCGCATGCCAGCTGGTAATGGTGATCAGCAACAGGCCCGGCGTTTTCGTCAGAGTTCCGTAATGGACAAAGCGAGTCGATATCATCCAAGACGACCAAACTTGGACGCAGAAGTGACGCCGTATGAGCGACGTCAAGAAGACGCTTCTCAACGGCCTCGGCTTTCTTACCAATGAATTTTTTTAAGGACACAATCTTACAGTAAACTCGGTAATTGAGACCAGCAAAGTCGCGACCTAACTTTTCAACAAGCGTCGTCTTGCCACTAGCAGATTCTCCTTGCAATAAAGCGAAAATTGGCTCCTTGAAGCGACTTGACGATAACCCCAAAAAACGTGTTACTCGTTTCCGCAAAGTATCAGCAAAAACTGCGTCACCTACGAAGTCGAATATAGGCTGCGACAAATCACGTTCACAATCACTGAGTGGCGGCGATCGAGGTACAGATACAAATTCTTTGCTCAGCTGGCATGTAACGTGAATATTCAACAAATCAACAGTGGAGCGAGTGAGCATAAGCGGTGCATCACCGCCTCGGAGAAGCACCAAAACTTCAAGTGGCCCCGTAGGTAGCACAATGGTATACAAGCTGCCATGATTAATGATCGTGTCACAGAGATCACAGGCTTCTTTGAACATTTGTTTCACGGTGCTGCTCACGCGCACAAGCTCTTCTTGTAGCAACTTTCGGCCTGAATGCACGTCAATGAGAAGAGGCCCTGAACGGAATGGAAGGGTTCCAGTCTTCATCAGTATTAGACTAGGAGAAGCCAGACATAAAATTCTCCGTATCGAGTTGGGCACAACGGCAAAATGCCCAGCAACAAAGCTATTCGAGAGAACATAGTCTAAAAATTCAACATCAACTGTTTTTTGAGCGTTTTCAAGAACCATCACCATCACATAAAATGATTTGGAAGTATCATTTTTTGGTTTGCTTGTCTGCCCTGACGGACCTTTTTCGTCCTTGTCAAGTTTTGAGGGCATAGCGAGTTGTATCATTGCAGGAAAGAAAGAATGCTTATTGAAGGGGGTGTCGTAAACGGCATCAGTGCTAACAACAACCACAGAAGAGAAGGGATGAGAGCGAGACATTAGCGGATAGTCGAGCGGAGGTAGGACTCTCAACAACTTGGTAATTTTGGCCGAAGGTGTGTCTACAATAGTTTGGTTCATTCGAATCAAATTATAAAGCACGCACTTCGTCAATGAAGTTAACAGGGAATCACATTTCAACTTATTTTCGTTACTCATTGCAGTTGTTTCGTATAGGGGAAGAGAGGGATTTGCATTAGGGAGATCCGAAGAAGAAAACTGAAGAGACTGAGATGGTAGTCTTTCAGGCGCATGTTCAGATCCAGGGGGGACAACTTCCACGTAAGTGAGAGGCAGCAAAAGTCCGCTCACTGCAGCCGGCGATACACGTAGCACAGACATGGTTACGCATGAACCTCCTTCGAGCCAGAGAGGGAACCGTGCGCCAGGAACCACTATTCTCACTTGCTCTAAAAATTCCAGTTGCACCATATCAATATTCAAACACAAATTCTCCCAGTCGCTGGCACACGATACTGAAACACAAACACGCTCACAAGCAGAAGGTGAGGGCAGCTGCTTTAATATCACGAGCTCTTGTTCTCCAACACTGAAACCGTTCATTGAGAGCAGCTTATCACATACGATGATAGCCGGCTCTTCGTTGCCCTTCGTCACATGACTCTCACCGGCCCACGACACCAAGCACTCATGCCCTGACTTGTCCGAGAATGAGAACACGTGGACAGTACAGGGAGCGATGCTCCTTAGGAGTGTCTGAGGGAGGCTTATGAAACAGTTCCTTCTGGGTGCGCTCCTGACGGCGACCGTGGTAGAGAGGTACGGGATGCCCATTAATTTATTTTGCCTCAGTGATCATGACAAAAATTTAAATGTTTATTGTTATTCCTAATGTCTCTGAAGAATAAAAAAAAGAAATGCATGAAAAATCTTTAGCAGTAAAGTAAAGCCTAGTCTGCAATGGCAATTAAAAGTTAATAATTATTATACAGATTTGAGTATAATTATACTCTTAAAAGACTGTGCAATAAAAAGCAAAGCAAATTGTGACATAAACACTCTAGGTACTTAGATAGGTGAAGCTCCTTCCAGTCTCAACAAGTACTAACTACTCAATTGGTGCATAATAAAGTTTGAAATAATGTGACCGAAAATTTTACAGAAATTAAGCCTTGCTGTTCTGACTGTGCTGCTACAGTAACATTACTTGATATCAAGTGCCAGGTTTTAAAAGGTGCATGCAGCAAGTAGGTACCGAGTTGATGTAGGGTACCTGAGCTTTCTGAGTTCGAGGATGAGCGAGTAATGGCATGAGGAGCAGTGTTGCGCTAGCAAGTTGGCTCATGTTTGCAGCATCAATGACATAGAGCAGTTTTCGTACCCCGCAATAGTAACTGCTCCACAGCTCTGCCATGCTCCCTCCTACGACAGACATAACACTTATTTCATGGATAACCCATTTACATTACTACACATTTATGTTAAGTCGGTGGGTATTTATGACTCAATTAACTAGTACCTATGTAAAAAGGGGAAAGCAAGGTATTATGTATGAAAGGCTTTCCAAAGAAACCTTGTGAGCCATTATTATTTCAAGCACAAATGTGCTTGGAATACAAAGATTAATATGCTCTTGGTATTTGAATTTACATCTATATTAATATAGGTATTTAAACTTTAAACAACCTAAAATATGTTCAATAAACAGTTTACATAATATGTTATGCAACAAGTTGCTTACCCAGTTCTCTAACAATAATTTCTGGGTTAGGCCTGTGTTTTTCAGGTGGAGGTCTTTGTAAGGTTGTGATGTTAACACCAGTAGTAGGTACTGTGCTGTGAGCAGAGGCAGCTCCACCACTTGGGTTTTCACTGCGGCTTTTACTTGGATTCAGCACATTTTTATGATCTTGGTGCAATTTTCTAAGCAGCAAAGTTTTGCCACTACCTTCAGGTCCAATACAGAGTAGCATTTGGGACATTTGGGTCATATCTGTTGTATAAATAATCACAGAGGAGAATAATTAACAATGAATAAGTTATTGTCATAACATGAATCATGGTTGGTAAAAAAAAAACTTTATTGTAAATTCAGGTTTGACAGGAGCTCACTTTTTAAGCATGTAAATTAAATAAAAAAGTTAAAAAAATCTAAACTCTAAATTTGAAATATTTGTAATTAAACCTACTACTACCGTCAAGTGAAAAAAAGATGTTGTTACCATGGTAATGGCCACCACTACAACAGAAACAAATGGCAGCAAAACAAAATAATAAAAGTTGGCCAAAATGCCTGGGGTGACGTTGGCCACTGAGGTGACTTTGGCCAATGTTTATTATTTAGTTTTTCTGCCATTTATTTCTGTTGCAGTGGTGGCCAAAGTCACCCCACTTGACGGGACGATTAAGAATTTCTTGTGAAAAAAAGATGTTGTTACCATGGTAATGGCCACCACTACAACAGAAACAAATGGCAGCAAAACAAAATAATAAAAGTTGGCCAAAATGCCTGAAAAAAAATCATGAAAAAATAAAAAAATCATTGATTTTTTATTTTTTTTTTTATTTAAAAAAAATCAAAAAAATCACCAACCCTGCTTGTGGATTGATTATGCAAGTAGTAGTAGTAGTAGTACCTAGTAGATTTACTAGCGCTTCAGATAGCTATCTATTTCGCGCTGGAGGTGAGATCTTCAGTTACGTCAAAGATGTCTCATCATGTCTGGTCTCTTCTGTCTTCAAGGCTTATAGCCTGGTCCATTTTAGGCGCAGGGGCTGGGCAGTAGATTCCCTGCTCATGGAGCGAGGGTCCCCTCCGACTTCATGTATCAACTCCAGCACTAGTTTAGTAAGGCCTGGTCTAGGTGATGGGACGGTGCACTTATAGTCTCGCGAACAGCGGTGGTGCAAGTGCATATGACCGACAGGCGGTGACGTTACGGGGACGTTATGCAATTTTTATGATGATTAGATATGTGATAAATCAGCAGCAAACTCTTGTGGCTCCAAAAAAAGGCAGAAAAGCCCTAGTAATGGCTCAGAAAGTAGATTTATTCAACCTCTTTCCATAATATTGGGCTGAATTTTAGAAAAATCCTGAATAAAGATGATCATTTTAAGAGTGATTTTTCAAATTTGAATGAAAAAATGGGTCATTGTTCTCAATTTACATAAATAATAGAAATTAGGAAATCCCTATAGCTGAAGGAAAGGATGAAATTGACCAGAAGCAGTCAATCATGGGCATTTTTGTCTTTTTATAGCAATGAATAGAGCTTTCCTCTCCTCTATCCCCTCCCTGAGTTATAGAATAGAATAGAAGTGTTGGCACTGAAGAAATAGGTCCATGGCCTGTTGCCGATTCTTGTACTTTTCATGACTTTATTCACAAGAGATCCAGCCTTTGGAACCCAATCTTTCCATAACTGACAATTAATTTAGACAGCTGCTGGACTTATTGCCTGCTCCGTAAGTTGCTAGGCATTTTAAGACTGAACATATCACATATGCTCCTGGATAGCTTTGTCTAATCTGTTCTTGAAGGCGTTCATACTTGCAGCGTCAAAAATGCTATCAGGGAGGTCAGTGTCAATGTGACAATAATGTCAGTGACTTGAAGCAAGAAGAAATGTTGTTGCATGGATTTATTTTTATTTAGTTTATTTTTAGTTTATAGCCATGGCCAGGGGCCCCTGATGTTGGTTCTTGTTTCAAATTCTAGTAATCCTTCTGGGACCTTGTATAAGCCATTCATGAGTATACTTGTACCTGGTATGCTTCAATGAGGTCTCAGGTCCCCACAGGCACACAGTCATCAATAACTGAGGCTTGGAAGCTTCATAATCTTTAATCTTTCCTCATAGGACTTGCCTTTCAGGCTATCAAGCCCAGAATTATCCTTGTTGCATTTCTTTGAACACTCTCTATTAAATTTTTGTCCTTTTTAAGTTTTGATGACCACACAACATATCCAAACTCTAGATTTTGGCTCACGACAGCAACAAACATGAAACAACTGCTTCATTGCTTCTGCTGTTCTGCATCTAGGAACTCAAACTGTAAAATTAGGAATTTTACTCACAACATTGGCCTGGGTGCGGGTGCCTATCTGGAATATTAAATAAACATTTTTTTTTTCAAACATTGCCAGGAAAAATGATTATTTTATAGACAATTTTCCAAAGTTGAAGGCACAGGCAAATATAAGATCTTCTGCTTGCCTTTTTACAAAATAAATTAAGTAATAGACATTAGAATGGACAAAATTTACCTCACATATGAGCTTTTTTATTACATTCATGGGTAGCTCTGCTCAATTTTCCAATTGTGTTCTATGCCTATTGCCTAATGCCCATTACCAGGTCACACTCCATCACAGTGAGGTCACATGACTCACATCATCCCAATCCCTTATCCCATGATGATTAATGAATAATGATGATGTGTCAGACTGTTAAGTGTCAGTAACTGTCATGTTCACTTGAACAAGTATAACTACAATATAAATGCTAGACAAACAAAAATGCTCCAGACTCCAGAGCGTAACCAATAATATAATCCTACTCATAGACTGCTGAAGCAGTCAATTAGTATTTAGTCATACAGACATACACACACGACACACCGTACCTGGAAGCTGTAGCCTGTACTCTGTAGGCAGTAGGCGTATGACTTAATCAGACTAATCATACATTACATGATACGTCTAGGGGCTACGGTATACCTACGCCGGCCCGAGCATAGTCATAACTCATACCGTTACCGTAGTCCTATGAGACGAGTTATGACTATCCGACTATGAGCGCCGCTAAACACGGATTGTTCCTTATGTGGTCAAGTCTCAAGTGGAACACAGCACAGCGACAGCGTGTTCCAAACTTCCACCTGAGGCGATTCTCGCCGTCGTAAGCTGATTATTTATTAAGTCTGAGGGGTGGACGGGATGAGTTATGCCAATATAATCTTTAACAGCTTTGCACAGGTGGTGCCAGATGGTAACGGTAAAAATGGGGCTAGGCCTATTTCGAAATGTATTTATCCTTAAGTGAGGATAAAAAGCAACTAGTGTTTAATACATCAAGATTTCGGCTAAACAATATATAGTAAATGAAAGTTACTCTCATGAATTATAGTTTGACTTAACGTCACCAATTTAATGATGTACCGGTACGTAGTTTGACTAATGAAAAAGTAATTTTACTGCACATTTCAATCAATCGACACTTCTCCGGACCCGCCTGCGAACTCGCCTGCGGACACAGCTCAACCGAAGGACTCATAACTCCTACAACACTGAACGGATTTGTTTGAATTTTGGAATATATGTAGTTATTATTGAAACGCTGCTGCAGGAATTATTACAGATTTTTACATAAATTAGTTTTTAATTAAAAGTAATAAACGTATTTTTTAATCAACCGAAGGACTCGTAAAACCTACAATACTGAACAGAGTTGCTTGAATTTTGGAATATAAGTAGTTATTATCGATACGCTATGGGAGGAATTATTACGGATTTTTACATAAATTAGTTTCAATTAAAATTAATAAACATATTTTTTAATCAACCGAAGCACTCATAACTCCTACAATACTGAACTGATTTGCTTGAATTTTGGAATATAAGTAGTTATTATCGATACACTGCGGCAGGAATTATAACAGATTGTTACATAATTTAGTTTTTAATTAAAACTAATAAACGTATTTTTTGATCGACCGAAACACTCATAACTCCTTCAATACTTAACGGATCTGCTTGCAATTTGGAACATAAGTATTTGCTGTAAATTCGCTAGTTTATGAATTATAAAAATTAAATAAATATCCAAAATTTTGGATTAAGATGATTCAAGTCATGATTTAGTTTTTATTCAATGTGATTGATTGATTTATGATTGATTGATCAATGATTTATTTTCATGTCAATGAAATGGCAAGAAAGAACTGCAAGGCTGAAAACAAATTCCTAAAAATGTTTCCTGTCTATGCTAAGACGAGAAAATGCTTATTTGTGCTGAGCTATTGCTAATATATGTATATAATAACCGGCGCAAACTTGATGATCCGTTAACCCTACTACTTAAAAGGACTGCACAATCCCGATTGAAAAGAAAAGGCAGATATTGCCTAAAGTGTAAGCGTGGATAGTTATGATATGAATTTCGATGGCAAATGGACGTGTTGGCCAACGTAGTCGGTGATGGAAGGCGGTGGTTGGATATATGGCTCGATCACTGGCGCCCATGGTTCTGTAAGCAGAGCTGGGCAGCGCTACTTGGAAATGTAGCGGCGCTACCGCTACCGCTACATGCTCTAAATGTAGCGGGCGCTACCGCTACCGCTACTGAAAATGTAGCGGCCGCTAGTAGCGGCCGCTACATGTAGCGCGCTACTGCCCACCTCTGTCTGTAAGGTTAAAAGTACGAGAATGATGTAGTTCCACAATTTCTGAGGTCAATATTCTTTCAGAAGATGGCAAACAAAATACTTTGTAATATTGGACGAATGCTATTGAGTTTTTTCTATGTTGGACGACATTGGTTGTTCCTAGTGTGTAGTAAGTAGGTATATACCTGTAGTATGAATAATGCATCTTTATTGCAGGAAAGGAATACATTAATTGTTGAGTTCAGTGTTACTGCCTATGGCTTTTGAAACGGTTCTGGCAAATGAAGCAGAGATACTATTTTGGTGAAGACTTAGTGATCCTTTAACTTAGTCAAAATAAACTATTACAAATGTCAGTTCATCATAATCATCATGATAACTTAAAATAAATAGCACTAATATTTGGTACTTGTTGTATATCATTTAATAAAATTTCTTGAACTGATATAATTATGCTTGTGTCAATTTTTAATAAAGGGGTATACTAATTTTTTTTCAAATCACTATATTAACATTTTAATGGATTTAAACAGCATTGAGTATTTTAAATTCAAAACTTGGATATGTAAAAATATATGGAACAATCCCCAGTTGGTTGATCAGACAGTAGGGAAGTAATTTCTATGAGATAATCCTACAATTATTCTAACGGCTTCCGGAAAATTGGAAATTATCGG